TTTGGCCTTATAATGAAATCATTTTTTTGCGTAAACCCTCTAGTGTCATCATTCCCATGTACAGCACGCACACCTGTCACACGCACACACGCACAACTGCGACCGTCAACCGCCGCCGCCTCTTAGGCGGCGGTCGCCTCTTAAAGGGCCTCCTTTAAGACAGCATTAGGCGGCGGTACAGATGCGGCCCAAAACCTGAGTGTGAATAATTCAACTCAAATTATTTGAGTCTCCGTTTCTAGCAACACAATAAATGTGCGATTTAATGCATCTACAGCACAGCGTTTTGCAAAGAAAAGTTGCCCGCCTTGTGCCCCACTTCCTCGGCCCCGTACGCCCTCCCCGTCTCTCCCGCTCGCCGCTAGTCTCGCAAACTGCTGGCCGATCTGTCCTGCTCCAGCGTCAGCTTGGCTGCAGCCTCCACGTTAGTGTCTTCTTCGATCGCCATCTCGAACAAACGCTCACCTCGGTCTGTGTTACGAGCCTCACCGGCCGCCCCGTCCCGCATCATGTCCCCGAGGCATACCATTAACTTGCTCTGATTGCGTGTTTAGGTGTCCATCTCAAACAGCTCCACCGCGTCCACTGCAATCCGCTCCGTCCCTTCCGCTCCGTCCTTCATTATCATCGCAAGAAAGAACACAAGTCGCGTTACCGGAAATGCCTTTCACCATCGCACGTTTCCGCAATCCCATAGCGCATACTGTGCTAGTCTCGATGCCCACCTCCCCTTCTTATAGCAGGGCACCCAGATTGACCATTGCACTGATGTGGTCAGCCTTGTCGATCGCCATCTCGTCGTACTCCGACAAGCACAACTCATTCCGTACCTTTAGAATGAAAGTTCCCGAGATTGAACATCGCCTCGACGTGGCCAGCCTTGTCGATCGCCCTCTCCCACAGCTCCTTCGCTCGTGCCGCGTTTCGCTCCACCCCTTCCGCGCCATCGTACAGCAAACACCCGAGATGGTTCATCGCGTCGACATGATCAGCCTTATCGATCGCCTTCTCCCACAACTCCCTCGCTCGAATCGAGTTCCGCTCCACTCCTTCTGCCCCATTTTTGAGCAGGGCCCCGAGGTTGTACATCGCGTTCACGTGATCAGCCTTCTCGATCGCCCTTTCGTACAAATCCCTCGCGCGTACCATGTTACGCTCCACTCCTTCTGCGCCATTATCGAGCAGGAACCCGAGGTTGTTCATCGCGCTGACGTGATCAACCTTCTCGATCGCCCTTTCGTACAACTCCATCGCGCGTACCGCGTTACGCTCCATTCCTTCTGCGCCAGTATCGAGCAGGACCCCGAGGTTGTACATCGCATCGACGTCGTCAGCCTTCTCGATCGCCCTTCCATACAACTCCGCCGCGCGTACCGCGTCACGCTCCACTCCTTCTGCCCCAGTATCGAAAAGGAACCCGAGGTTGTACATCGCATCGACGTGATCAGCCTTATCGATCGCCCTTTCATACAGCTCCATCGCGCGTACCGCGTTACGCTCCACTCCTTCTGCGCCATTATTGAGCAGGAACCCGAGGTTGTACATCGCGCTGGCGTGATCAACCTTCTCGATCGCCTTTCGTACAGCTCCATCGCGCGTACCGCGTTACGCTCCACTCCTTCTGCGCCAGTATCGAGCAGGACCCCGAGATTGTACATTGCATCGACGTTGTCAGCCTTCTCGATTGCCCTTCCATACAACTCACTCGCGCGTGCCGCGTTACGCTCCACTCCTTCTGCCCCATTATCGAAGAGGAACCCGAGGTTGTACATGGCATCGACGTGATCAGCCTTATCGATCGCCCTTTCATACAGCTCCATCGAGCGTACCGCGTTACGATCTACTCCGTCCGCGCCATTATCGAGCAGGAGCCCGAGGTTGTTCATCGCGTTCACGTGATCAGCCTTTTTGATCGTCCTTTCGTACAGCTCCATCGCGCGTACCGCGTTACGCTCCACTCCTTCTGCGCCATTATCGAGCAGGACTCCGAGATTGTACATTGCCTCGACGTGATCAGCCTTCTCGATCGCTCTCTCCCAAAGCTCCTTCGCTCGTGCCGCGTTACGCTCTACTCCTTCTGCGCCGCTTGCCATCAAGAGACCAAGATTGACCATCGCCCCGACATGCTCACCCTTGTCAATTGCTCGCTCGTAGAGGCCCACAGCCTTGGCTGCGTTGCGTTCAACACCTTCTTCCCCCTTCCCCATGACGATGCTATGACTGTACATTGCGAGGACGTCCCTGAGAATTGTAAATTTTGTGCGAATCAAAAAATCATACCACTGTATTCCGAAATGCATGTCAATCGCGAAGTGTCCAGACTGTATTCCGAAATGCATGTCAATCGCGAAGTGTCCAGAAATGAGCACTTCGGGCGCCATTTCGGGAAGACAAGCCTGGCGAAACCTCCACGAGCTGCGATTCCCGAGCCCCTGAAGGATCGACAAGTAGGAGGAGCCAGAACAATAACAAGGGTCGAACAGAGAAGAAAATGAAGATGCAATGAGGACGGGGTTCAACAGTGAAGAAAATTTGTCTCGCATGTTGTAAAGAAGCTCCTCCTCTTGAAGCAGGAATTGTTGCAACATAACTGTTTCTATCGCTTCTCTGCGCATACACCTATAAGAAACGTCCATTCGTGGCGAATGCAGTAGATGGCTTCAATCGTTCTCAATCTGGAAGTCTTTTAGGATGCGCCACTATATTCGTCAAGCAGGCGCTTTGCCGTGGCTTTACCCACTCATCATGGGCCCTACAAGAACGCAAGAATTAGAGAACCCCCTGAATGCTAGGGGTATTTTACCGCACTGCATCCCCGTATGCATGACTCTCTAGGTGATTGCAGATATAGAAATGTGCGACGTGAGATTTAGAGGCAGCTTCCTTGTGCGGAACAGGTATGCTTGCAGGAAAGCGAAGGTTGAAGGAGAAGATGGCAGCACGTGGGGGTGTTTTCAAGCTATGTTTTCCAGACATGAGACGAGGACAGATCTTCTCGCTGGCGGGAGCATGTACTCTTGGTCAAAGGCGTTGGAAGCTCGAGTCTTGGTACGCGGCTTACCCTTGAGCTTGGATTGTTTTCGTGTTAGTGAATTGAAGAGGTATTATACGTGCGTGATAAGTAATGGATAGGCGCAACACGCTACATCCTTGGATTGCATGCCAGGCTGGTGGATGTAGAGCTTTAGTGCGTGGAACTGATGGCACTAAACATCTTGACTTGTTTATTCCTGCATTGGAACATATCAATTAAGGATAGGATGAATCAGTATGATGCATGTTTGCCAAAAGTGTACAGATGTTTGGGCTTCGCAGTTTGGAAGTACGTGAAGGACAGAGGGGATGGATTATCTTGGATTCGTGCTCTACGAATGTTACTATGACCCTCTGGGAACGCTCCCAAATTGCTCCGTCAAAACAGATCTGAGACCAGGGGTACACACTAGCGGTTTAAAATCCGCTTGCAGAGGAATGCTGATTCAAACCAGCTTCAAATTCAAGCATTGCATCTTTTCGAGTAGGGTTTTCTCGGCTTTTCAAAAGATGTTGGACTCCTTTCTGAATATTCTGCTTTTGAGACAAGGATGAAAGCAGGGGTCTACATGATGATAGTTCTGCTAGCGGCGTGTGTGATTGACTCAGAAACGAAAGCTTGGTGCGTAGGCGGTTGTGAGGTTTTGGTTGTGGTAGTTCAAAATTGACCCTCTGTTGCTTGGCGCATGGGAGACGGAATTACTGTTGCGATAACCTTTCAGTGCGCATATTTACAACACCGAACTGATAAGCATTGAAGTGGCACTTGAGGTCGTCGTTTGCATGCAGGAAAAAGGGCAGCACCCATCCTTTTACTTTGCAAGGCGTATTGTACGGTAATGGTGAACATGGTACTAGTGAATTTCACCACTGTCACAAATTGCGCTTTTCACCTGGAATTGGTTCCACAGGAGGACGCACCGGGCGCAATCGTATAGAGAAATCGGAGGCGGGATGGTTTAAAGTTGAGGTATGCGTATTGTTTCCGCGATAGTTGTGAATGCACAGGGTGTAAAAATGAATGGTTCCGCCGCATGTGTTCTTTGGCGGTCATGTTGGCAAGCGGTGTGGTGCAGTAAAAGTGAGTTGAATACGCTATGACTGCCGAGACAGAGGTACATAGGCATGGTATCGCGGTATGATTATTAGCAAGCAGGGGATGGGGACTGCGGTGTTGGTCGTGTAGCGGGAAAGGAGTAAGAGATGGATTCAAGTGTATTGAAAAGATTCCACTTGAATAACTGCTCAAAGTGGTGCCAGATTGCACACGCTTATACATTTATCGAGGTTACACGACTGGTGAATAGGTATGATAGGGCGTTGGCGAGAGTTGTGAGAAGTACGGTAACTATATAGGCATCATCCCTTGTATCTGTTGGACGGAACAAGCAGTAGATTGGTGGCTGTGGAAGTGAGATGTGTAAGTGCAGAAGCTGCATTACGTGTCATCACAGCCTCTTCCCTCAAGCTGCAGAGAGAATACCGGTCAATACCGGTCAGCGGTTTTTAGTTTGATTCAGTAGAGAACACTGCCCTGGAGTTTGGGAGCACGTAGTTTCTTTAGCATATAAGTCCCGAGGGCTCACTTAGAAAATAAACTCGGTACCGCTACCACTTTTCAGAAGACCGGACCTCGCATCCCATCAAGGTTTACAGATGGGATAAAAGATCTCGAACCCTGTATCAATTAGATCTACTGTAATTTTCCGAAGATCTGTTTCAGCCAACCGCTGCATCACAGCAGACACATTCCAGCAGAGAATTCAACAGGGGCCAATGTCACGTGTACACTTGGATACGTGGCGCACAAGCTGCAGCGTCCCCTGACATGCCGATCCCAGATGCTGCTCCTCTCTCCGCGGTCATCCCGCCTTGTTCCTTTTTGAAGACCCAGACGACCCCTGAGGCCAGCACGCTGTCGAGGGGGACGCAGCTTTGACGAGAGTAACTAGCAGTCCCATGTTTTCATGTCCAAGTCTTGCGTTCCTCTTCAGCCTCGTCGCTTATCTGAGACCAGGGTGCTGTCGAGTGGGGCCCGACTGTCACGAGAACACATTGCACTAGCAGTCCCATGTTTTCATGTCCAAGTCTTGCATTCCTCTTCAGCCTCGTCGCTCATCGTACCTACCCATGGTGCCATTGCCAAATCCATTACCCTTGAGGGCATAATAGCGATCAACGAGGTTTTCTACATGTCGAAACGGAACACTTGTGCAGCCGTCCGCGTGACACCAAGGATGCCATCCCCTCTCTCCTTCGCAGGCGTGCCCACGTCGCGGATGCACGCGACGTCGGCGAACAAGTCACCCGCGCAGTCGTCCACCGCCTCCCCCCTTTCAGATTGCCGGAACCCGTGCATCGGCCCCGTCTGCCTCGTGCTGGGCTCAGCGCCGCCCGGCTGCGTCCTGCACCAGTCGGCCGAGAATCTCCATCGCCTCGCCTCCGTCGCGCCCGTTCATCCCGGCTTGGAACAGCTTCGCTGCTCGCGCTGCATCCCGCGAAACCCCGTCCGCTCCGTCCCGCAGCAGGCAAGCCAGTTTAAGCATAGCGTCGCGGTTATGGCACTTCTCGATCGCGCGCTCGTACAATTGCGCCGCACGAGCCGCGTTCGTCCGCACTCCCCCTGTGCCTTGTACTAGCATTTCCCCGAGTTGCACCATGGCCTCGACGTAGTCGTGCTCTTCAACCGCGCGCTCAAGCAGCTTTGCAGCTCGCGCTGCATTCGGCCGCACCCAGTATCTGTCATCCTGCAATAGGCGCGCCAGTTCGACCATAGCAAAGGCATCCTGGGCCTCGTCGATCGCGCGTTCGTACAATTCTATTGCGCGAACTACATTCTTCTCCACTCCCGCCGCGCCAAAGGATAATAGCAGGCCCAGCCCTGTCATCGCGTGCACATCACTGTGCTCCAGGATCGCGCGCTCAAAAAGTTTCGCAGCTCGGACTTCATCCCGCAGAACACCCTCCCTTCCATTCATCATCACGAATGCGAGTTGGCACATAGCGCCGCCATGATGCCCTTCCCGGATCGCACGCTCGAACAATCCGGTGGCCCGAACCACGTTTCTCTCCACTCCCTCCGCCCCATCGTCCAGCAGGAGTCCGAGATAGTAAATGGCACTGACATCACCACTTCTGTCGATCGCGCGCTCGTACAACTCGACGGCCCGACTCACATTTCTCTCCACCCCCTCTGCACCCCTCTCCAGCAGGACTCCAAGATCCACCATCGCCTTAACATGATCGTGCTCCTTAATCGCGTCCTCGTACAGCTCCACAGCCCGCGCTGAATTCTGTGCCACCCCGTCCCCCCCGTTGCGCAACAAACCTGCTAGGTTGGACATCGCGTAGCAATCATGAGATTTCTCGATCGCACGTTCGTACAACTCGACAGCCCGACTCACATTTCTCTCCACTCCCTCTGCGCCCTTCTCCAGCAGGACTCCAAGACCCACCATCCCATCAACATCGTCGTGCTCCTTAATCGCCTTCTCGTACAGCTCCACAGCCCGCGCTGAATTCTGTGTAACCCCGTCCCCTCCCTTGCTCAATACAAGTGCGAGGTCGTACATCGCGCTGCAATCATGAGATTTCTCGATCGCACGTTCGTACAACTCGACGGCCCGACTCACATTTCTCTCCACTCCCTCTGCGCCCTTCTCCAGCAGGACTCCAAGACCCACCATCCCATCAACATCGTCGTGCTCCTTAATCGCCTTCTCGTACAGCTCCACAGCCCGCGCTGAATTCTGTGTAACCCCGTCCCCTCCCTTGCTCAATACAAGTGCGAGGTCGTACATCGCGCTGCAATCATGAGATTTCTCGATCGCACGTTCGTACAACTCGACGGCCCGACTCACATTTCTCTCCACCCCCTCTGCACCCCTCTCCAACAGGGCTCCAAGACCCACCATCGCCTTAACATGATCGTGCTCCTTAATCGCGTCCTCGTACAGCTCCACAGCCCGCGCTGAATTCTGTGCCACCCCGTCCCCCCCGTCGCGCAACAAACCTGCTAGGTTGGACATCGCGTAGCAATCATGAGATTTCTCGATCGCACGTTCGTACAACTCGACAGCTCGACTCACATTTCTCTCCACTCCCTCTGCGCCCTTCTCCAGCAGGACTCCAAGATCCACCATCGCATCAACATCGTCGTGCTCCTTAATCGCCTTCTCGTACAGCTCCACAGCCCGCGCTGAATTTTGTGCCACCCCGTCCCCTCCCTCGCTCAATAAATTTGCTAGGTTGAACATCGCGTTGCAATCATGAGATTTTTCGATCGCACGCTCGTACAGCTCAACAGCCCGACCCACATTTCTCTCCACTCCCTCTGCACCCTCCTCCAGCAGGACTCCAAGATTCGCCATCGCCCGAACATTTTCATGTTTGTCTATTGCGTTTTCATACAACTCCACAGCCCGTACTGCGTCCGTTTCCACTCCTTCTGCCCCGTCCGCCAGCAGGTTTCCGAGTTTCACCATTGCGTCCGCATCATCGTATTGCCGCACCGCGCGTTCATACAGCCTCACAGCGCGCTGTGCATTGATGCTGACCCCTTCCGCGCCCTCTGTCAGTAGATTGCCGAGGCCCACCATTGCGCCGACATGACCGTGTTCCTCAATCGCTCCCTCGTACATCTTAACGGCTCGTGCGGCGTCCTTCTCAACTCCGTCGCCGCCGTCCCTCAGCATGTTGGCTCGCTTGAACATGGCCTCTCCATCACCATGTTGCTGAGGACCCGCTGGTTGATTCTGCTCGGCGGCGATAATGGAAGCTTCTTCCATACTCTGCGGCGCTTCTGCGGACAACTTGGACATGGCCTCAGTATACTCACAAACGGCACAGTCCCCGCTAGAACTTCACCACCTGCCCGTGCCAAGTACCGAGACAGGGGAGAGTGAAGAGAAGCGCAGAGTTTACCTTGACGCCGTGCATGCGCCCCTCGATGACACGTGTGTCATCTCTTGTAATTTAGCTTTACAAAAACTACTTACAGTAAGCCGACTTTTCCTGTTCAACGGCTTTTTTGCAGCCACTGCAAGGGAGTGCCCTTGCATCTCGCAGGACGCCATGCCATCACTCATACTTTGCATCTTCAGGGTGACCCCACCGCCAACAAAATTTCTGTCCTAAAATTCCAACCACTAAAGTTTGGACCGATGGACTAAAGTTCGGACCGATGGAAGAAATTTTGAACCCCACCGCGCCACCATTTGTCCTAAAGTTTAGAATTTGGGAAGGATTCTTTTCCAAACCAAAATTATTTGGTCGAGATTTTTGTCCAAAGCGCCGTTTGGGCGAGCTTCGTTCTATAGTAACGGTACAGAAAACATCTGAATTTCATGTGCTTACAGCTCTACCAAAGCTCTTCCAAATGGCTTTGGGGCTGTTTTGACTGAAGTCCCATCAATAGTGTGGGACGCAAAAAGGAGTGTTGTGCAGCCTTCGCTCGTGGACATTTCCCATCTTCTCCCTCCTTCTCGTCTTCTGAGAAGTGCAGGCAATGGCTGAGGTGGTTACTAGGACTGATGACTCGGCATTAAGAGTGAGGAAAAAGGGTAAGGGACTGGGGTGGTCAGACGAGGAGAATCTTGCCCTGTGCGTTGCTGAGAGCGCAGTGTCTGAGAACGCCGCGAATTGAAAGCGTGGTGTACTTGCCGAGTTGATAATTCCCAAACAGGAGCCTACATATTATGGAGAGCGGGCAAGTGACGAGCAAAAGTTGCCGCCAATTGTGGAACAGACGCGTGCAGTAGCTTGCTTCTTTGCGCCAAATGTATTTCTACGACATACTTGTAGCCTAATTGGGGTGACCCTGAATATGAATAGATGTATCGTGTTACAGGCGCGGTGGGGTTCATCTCTGAATCACCACCTCCCCCAAAGCGCGGCTTGATTAAAAGATAGTAGATCCAATTACCGGAGGACAACTGTCTGCTTTTTGCGATTTTGGGCAAGGCGCGGTGGGGTCACCCTCACTACAGAGTCTGTAGTGAAGATGCAAAGTAAATGCTTGATCTGTACTACAGACTCAAGTCTAATCAAGCATTTCTGTTATTAGTAGCTGCCGAGCCGTCGCATTGACTTCCTCCTTTTTCGCAGCCATAAATGCCAGCCTACACTTTTGCAGATGTCCAATTGCATCATCGATCCTGCCTTTTTCCGCCATAGTCTCTATTTTAGTAAGCAACTGCATAATATCTTTCCGCGGCGGCAGCGGCTCTCGGGCAGTACGTCCATCAAACTGCCTTGCCTATCTGGAGACCCTTCGTTTTTGGCTCAAAATTCGTGCCACCCGCAGAAGGGTAGCACTATATCGGAGCTGGCACTAGCAAAGATGGTACTATATCGTGACCCCCCCCTGTAATTACTAAAACGGTAAGCGAAGGATTATGGTCAAGGTGAGGGTCTGGTTAACATAAGGTGGGGCGGCCGGGTCGCCATCGACACCGTTATCCCCGCAGAAAGAGTAGAGCGTAATGCGGTACGAGCGAAGGAGTTGTGGGAGAGGGCGATCGACAAGGCCGCTGACATCCCCGCGTTGGTCAGTCTCGCGGACCTGCTGTGGAATAGCGCAGAAAGAGTGCCGCGTAACAGGACACGCGCGATGTGGTTGTATTTAAGGGCAATGATGAACAAGGGGTATAACGGCGGTACAATGGGCGGTGTTTAGGAAGCGTCTGCTGTCTAAGGACGCGGAAATCCTCCCAGAACTGAGCGAGGAGGGCGTCGAGACGAACACCGTACGGGCTGCGACACTGTACGAACAAGCGATAGTGAACGGCAATGGCGGTAAAGCGACATGCAATCTTGCGAGGACAACGAGGGACGGCGCGGAAGGGTTGGTGCGGAAGGGTTTTGCGCGGAAGGGTTAGCACGGAAGGCGGTGGTGCATGCGGTGGAGCGGTTCGAGATGGACCTCAACGAACGCACGCAGAACAAATGAGTGGTGTGTCTCGGGGATAAGATGCGGGACGGGGCGGACGGCGTGGCTGCGGACGCCAATCGAGCTGAGCGCTGGTACGAGATGGCGATCGAAGAAGCCAAAAACGTGGAGGCTTTAGCCAAACTTGCGGCGTTGGAGCAGGTCAGATCGGGCGGCAGACAGCGGAACGAGCGGTGAGCGCGAGAGGCGGGAGGAGTAAACGGGAAGGAAGGGTGGGGCGGGCGCAACGGGGGGGGGGAAGGGGGGGGGGGGGTGGGGGTACAGCGGGGTGGGCGTTGGGGCGGGCGGTGTGGCTGTGGTCCCTTTCAATGAATGGTGTAAATCTCATTATCTTACAGTGCCTGGTTCGATATAGTGCCGTTTTCGGCCCCACTGACACAGCGTAGCACTATATCGCGACCCCCCCCTGTAACTGTATAGGCATCATCCCTTGTATCTGTTGGACGGAACAAGCAGTAGATTGGTGGCTGTGGAAGTGAGATGGGATAAAAGATCTCGAACCCTGCGTTGGAGGCTGTCGTAAATCAGCATTAAAGCAATATTGAGTGCATGGAGTAATGTAGGTATGATGTGTGTTTGCATTGCAGGAGCATACACTGCAATATACATGAGCTGAGCACTGCCGATTGCGGTTGTGGGCGCGAAATGCATCGTTCCCGACGAGAACTGAAGGCGTGGGGTATGTCTAGGCGTTGTCCACGCCGTATCCCTTGGTTATCCCTTGGATGGGACACAGCGGCGTGTAAGTGGATGTGGAATGAATGGCATGAAAAGATCTAGACTCTGCGTCAGAAGCAGCCGCTCGGTATGAAATGGGTGTTACCCATTTTCGTGGACGGTGTAGCGTGCAAGAAGTATGATGCGTGTTGCAGGAAAGTGTAGATGAGTTGTACGCGCCCGATTGGAGGAAGGCGAAGGAAGGTTTAAGAGGGGGAAGAAGTTGGTCGGTGTGGGGTAAATCAAATTGAGGAAGAGTGAGATAGCGGTGAAGATAGCGGTGAAGATAGGGGTGAAGATAGCAGAGAAGAGGTTGGGTGCGAAATAATGAACTCATACGAATGCCTCATATGCGGTTGTGGCAAGGTGTGGCAAGGTGGAAGGGAGGTTTTGAGGATGGGTGGCGGAGAGAAGAGCAAGCCAAAGTTCGACGCAGGGTTGAACCTTTCCCGCAGAGCATATGCACCTTCTCAGCAATCAGGTGCGCTTTTGCCTTTTGTGCTCACGACCTGCTCCACTACCAGTCCGTGAGGTACAGAGGGCCCTACTCATAAGTGCCGCCCTGTGTAAGACCCCAACATTGGCACTATTGGGAGACGGCATTAATAGGTGACGTCGTCACATCTATTTTCATGCATTCGGTAATTAACGTCTGCCTACTCCGCGTTGGGTCTCTGTCGTGTTTTGCAGTGAGAAACGCGCACTTTGCGGACCTCAGATACGATAGAGCGTCTGAAACTTGACATTCGGTAGCCAAATCTTGCAGCTCTCCAAACAATTCCGCAATCTCAACGATAGAGGGGACAGTCCTTCGCTCTCTCGCGTCCTCTGTGCTCCCATCTTCATCACTTGATTGCGTTGTAGTTGTGTTCGTCACACCCTGAACTGACTCAAAAACGTCCATGGCATCATTAACAAACGCCTCTACCACACTTTCGTCGGACTCAATATTTACCCACCGTTCCACATGAGAAATCCGAGCAGCTTAGCCTCTAGATTTGGGACCCATACGGCCTGACGGGTCTTCAATTGCAGTGATTGGGCTTCTTGTTGGCTACGCGGAGTAATTTGGGAGCAGTTGCGCTGATGTTTCGCACGGTGCGCCCTGCGATGCCGAACTGCCGCTCATTGCTTCGGTACAGTGTCCCTTTTCGAGCAGATCTGCAATGTCTAGCTTCTACGCTATTGTCAGGCGCTTGCGCGTTGCGTTTTTTATTTCCGGAACCGGATCCATAAGGAGGACAAGCTAAGGTCTGTGAACGCTGTTCGGCGAATGGAATGCCGCTTTCACATGTTTTCACGCGCGACGGACGAACGGCTACATAACACCTGGACCCGTGTGACACGTGGCACTCTTCGTGTTCGTACGTCTGGCCGGCATTAATGGGAGGGTGGCATTAGCAAATGCGGCACTAATGAGAGTCCCCTCCCTGTAGGAGCAAAATTTTAAGGAAAGTTTAAATGCTACAGTACAGTGCCTCCTACGATATAGTGCTATAGCGTGACATACCTCTAGCTATGGTACTATTGGGGGGATGGCACTATATAAAGGAGACTCAAATACATAAATTTGGGGACAAAGCACACTGCTATCACAAACACAACAAAGCCTGTATAACACAACTACAGTAAATAACTTCATCCTTTGAGTACTGAACCATGCCGGATGATACACGTGTGAGCTTATGATAACCTGTGCCAGAGGGTGAGCCATAGCACTATATAGAGGGAAGCACTACTAAAGTAGGCACTATTGAGCGACCCCCCCCTGTAGTGTGAAAATTGATTTTGGCGGCACGGAGGTGACCCAGACGGAGGGGTGGGGTATTTCGAGATCGCCGAAGTCTCTCGCCCACTTCAACCACTCCTGCTCGTTCTCTTGCGCCGCCCTAGTCATTTAATTGACGCAAACGCACTGAGGAAAACTTTCCCTTCCCAGCGATACTGTTCTGGGAGCGTGCTTCCGACTACTTCCCCTGCTGTCGGGGAGAGAAGGTGAAAGAAGCGAGTCGCTCTCCACGCCTCCGCCAGGTGCATCTTTGATTTTGTCGAACCAATGTGAGTTAGAGAATGTCCTTCAAGTCACACATTGCATCATCTTTGCCCTGTGGTTCTCCCCGCGCTGCAGGCCGTGCTGACAGGCCGGTCGACCGGGCTCGCGGTGGTGCTGGTTGCGCTGTGGTGGCCGTCGCGGTCGCGCGCGCTGCCGTTCTACTCCGACGCGACGCACTACGACCCGAAGCGGATCGTGCTGTGTCTGGGGGAGAACCTGACATATTTGCGGCGCGATAAAGCTCGGTTCTGGAAACACGCGTACCACGCGATGGTAGTGCCCACAGCTATTCCTGATCTCCCGCCAGGAGCATCTTCACATTACAACAGTAGCGCTTCCCACCGATACCTCCTCCGCAATCACCTGCTTCGATTGTGAGGCGTGCAAAGACGAGACGTGTTGTGTGCGATGCGTCAGCTAAGGAAAGGTCAGGGAATACAATAAAAGCTTGCCTCACGCTACCTTTTAGGCGTATGCCGTCAAGCTCGCAGACAAATTGGATAAAAGTCGCCTGGCAAAATTCACACTAAAATTCGGCTCCTCACGGACAGCTACGGCATGCCCGCTCACGGATGTCACAGACATCGTCGCGCCGAGCGCGACGGGCTGATGCCGTTTTTCACGGTTTTGTACATGCACCCTTCCAAGGGTACGGTATGTGCGCAAATGAAGGAAGCACAGGGAGCTACGAGCAGAACGAGATTGACGAGACAGTAAAGTTTTACGCAAGTCGAGGATTGGCTGTCGAGGATTGGCTGAGACAGTAAAGTTTTACGCAAGCAAGTCGAGGATTGGCTGTCGAGGGGGGGCTGTCGAGAGGTGGCTGTCGACGGTTGGCTATCCTCCGCGGCTCTCGCTCTTGTCATAAAATTATATTCTTGCACACACCATCAAGTTGCGTCGCGGGTGTTGAGCGCAGGTTGTCGCCTGAAATTTGGCGAGAGCCAACAGTCCAATGAAAAGGCTCCATGGCCGCCGCCATCGCTCGATGGTTGGCTGATGATGATTTAGGGTGCGTACCATTGTAGATTTAATGATTAATCAGCGCGGCGGAGCGGCGCGCACCGGAGCCCTGTTCTGGTTGCCATAAAGTCGGGGTGACCGGGTCACTGTAGACCCGATCACCTGAAGAAACGACATACATTTTCCAGATATCCCTGGCTTGCCTTTTAGACGTCGATGCGATGGTGAGCCTCCGTAATTTGCTCGTGCGAGCAGAAGGCGCCGAAGGAGTTGAGGGTATCGTGGTGCGATCTATGGAGCTATATGAGCGCGCTATCGAGGAGGGTGACGACGTCGATGCAATGGTGAACCTCGGTAATTTGCTCGCAAGAGGTGCCGAAGGAGTAGATCGTGACGCAGTGCGATCTGTGGAGCTGTATAAGCACGCTATCGAGAAGGGTGAGGACGTCGATGCGATGATTCACCTCGATTTTTTGCTCGCAAAAGGTGCCGAAGGAGTAGAGCGTGACGCGGTGCGATCTATGGAGCTGCTTGAGCGCGCTATCGAGAAGGGTGAGGACGTCACTGAGATGTTTAACCTCGGTGTTTTGCTTGCAGAAGGTGGCGAAGGAATTGAGGGTAACGCGGTGCCAGCTATGGAGCTGATGAGCGCGCTATCGAGGAGGGTGAGGACGTAAATGCAATGTATAACCTCGGTAATTTGCTGAAACAAAGAGCCGAAGGAGTAGAGCGTGACGCGGTGCGAGCTATGGAGCTATACGAGCGCGCTATCGAGAAGGGTGAGGACGCCGATGCGATGGTGAACCTCGGTAATTCGCTGAAACAAGGCGCCGAAGGAGTACAGAGTGATGGAGTACGAGCTGTGGCTGTGGCACTGTATGATCGTGCAATGGCGAAAGGAAATTCAGGTAATGCGACTTGCAATCTTGCGATGATGTTGAGGGACGGAGCGGAAGGGGTGGAGCGCAATGCGGTGCGTGCGGTGGAGCTGTTTGAGATGGACATGGGAACGGAAGCAGAGCAAGTCAATGGTGTCATGATGCGGGACGGGGCGGACGGGGTGGCCTGCGATACGGATGGAGCGATACGGTTGTACGAGATGGCGGTCGAGGAAGACAAGAACGCGGAGGCGGTAGCCACGCTTGCGGCGTTGCGGCGAGACAGATCAGATGGCAGTACGCGGGACGAGGGGTGAGTGAGAACAGAGGAAGGCGGGATGGAAGGCGGGATGGAAGGCGTGGGCAGTGGGGGAGGAAAGTGCCGCATGGATAGGCGGCGTAATGACATATTTTTAGTGTAAATGTTTGCGGTGTAATTATTATTTTATAAGACAACAGTAACACGTGTACAGTAGTGCATTCATCATCGCCGCGATGGCCTTCTTCTACAGCAGGAGCGGGGAGAGGAGAGGAAGATAGGGACAAAGGAGGACGGAGCGGGACGGCAGAGTTGCGGGCGAGTCTCCGACACCGGTGGCCAACGTCGACTCGGAGTTAATCGAAAACACTCGTCTATACTTTTCTCTTAACTCTCTTTGTTGGTCTCGGGACCAGATTGACAGTGGACACGCTGAGCTTGCTACTGTACAGTACCGGCGCTGGACATAATTTAAATGGGAGATTCTGTGATTGGCGCTGCAAGCGATCGCCCTAGATCTACAGCTTTTAGCCAATTTAAATTTGGGGTATGGGTCGGCGCGCTGGAGATGCCGAGATGCGAGGGATGCGAGGCGGGTTCTCCCTGGTTGTAAATAAAGTTTTTTATCATTCGCGATATGCACCGTGATTTTAATACGTATTTTAATGTGTACCTTATCATACCCTTGTAAACATACCTGCTGTCTACAGCAGCCTACATAGGCCACTGATTGTCTTCCACAGTGTAATCTGGTGCGCGTAACTCGCGCACCAGATTCCACTGTGGATTGATTATCTATATCTCCCAGCGGCCGCCGCTGGGAGATATAGATAATCAAATTAAATTTACGACGGTGTGCATCTGAGGCAGGCGAAGGCTCCCATGCCTCACATGAGCCAAACATCTGGTGATGTTGATTGTTGTGGGGAACTCGTATTGGACAATTAAATACTGTAAGCCCTATCTCAACAAGCCCTATCTCAACAAGCCCTCGTTGAATCCCTTGGCGAAATCCAAGTGTGCCCGTGCCCGCCTTGTTGGATCGCATGCCTGCCATCTCGAGATCACCTTCAACCTCTTCTGTGGCCTCGTGAATGGCCACCGGCCCCTTTGCGCCTGATTCTGTCTTTACGGTAAGTCGTGCACCAAAATGGACAAACGACACCGCACATAACTTACGTATAACATACGGCCGGCCCGTTCGCGTACCTGCCTCCCCCATCTTCCGCAAGCTAAACGCATTCCACCCCTTACCTACCGAAAAACATCAACTCGTTTCACAGCAAGACCGACCGCAACCGCCATCTGCCCCCCAAGACGTTTCGAAAATATACTCCTTCACATCACATCTTTTCCCTTGTCGCCAACTCGTCATCCTGAACAATGGTGCTGGACCATCTCAAGGACAACTTCTACATCGTCCTGTTTGCGTATTTCGCGGCCTTCCTGCCGTGGACCGCGTTGACAGCTTTCGACTTTATCTCACCGGCGTGGCGCAAGGCACGCCACGTACGCAACGCAGGATACATCAACCTGTTCCTCAGCGGTGTCCCAGCTCTTTACATCTTATTTTACATTGTGATTCAAAATGGGAACGATACCAAGGAAATGTTCACGGCGATTGTCGCATTGCTATTTGCGCTGCTGTATTTCTTGCGGACAGCGTGGGGCTTGTGGCAGCTTCGCATGTTTGTGACGTGGGCTTCCAAGAGTATTCAAGCTCTGCGGGCGCTGGGGATTCATTATAAGCCTCCGGTTGCTAAAAAGAGCAAAGATGCCAAAGAGAGCAAAGATAAGCGTAGGCGAGGAAAGGGCAAGAACGAAGGCCAGGACAAAACGAAGGTCCTGTCTGCGGATGAGATGGCGGATGAGCTGTTAGTCAGCGACGAACTCATCGAGAATCGCCTTTTTCATGGAAATGCCCGTTGTTACATGCAGTTCGAAGACATGGATATCACGACGGACTCATCGCAAGGCCACATTGTTCTCCAGCGTCTTCTGTCCATACCAATCCGATACGTGTATTATACGGTGTTGTGGTGCTTTGGGCGAAAGAGTGTGCCGAAAGTGCGTCGGGTGCCTTACGAACCGGAGGAGGTTTGGCTGCGGTGGTCTGTAGCGTTTGCTGCTCAAGGACTGGGAGGGTGGATGAAGGAGTTTCGATTTGCAGCGAAAGCCGACGAAGATTTGTCGAGTTCGAACAATATGCAGCAGTACAAGAATCGACGGGACTACGTGGCGAGCCGAGTGCTGGCCACGGCTGGATTAGAGCTGTGGCTGGGACGTTGCGTACCGCTGGGTGAGGACTCAGTTGTGTCGAAGACAGAACTATTGCAAAAAGTAGCCGAGTCAGGCTGCGGTTTGCCGTTTGATGCAAAACAGGTGAATGTGATGGAGTCACCTGAAGAGGGGTACAGGTCGTACGCTCTGAAACTGTCGGGGATCATGCAGGACATGCCGGTTTCGTTTGGGAAAGAAATCGAGGGGTTTGATATCGAGAGAGTAGAGTGGCTGGCGATCTTGCTGAACATGGGGGGTGAAGTCATGTCAAAGAAGGAGGCCCAGAACACCAAGCGGGAGGAAAGTAAGTCCGAGTCGTTGCCGCACAATGATTTTGCAATGGAGAATCTGCGGGAGCAGCTGGGGATCGGGGAGAAGTTCCTTGGGGAAGTTGTGCAGGGGAGAAGCATTGCCAGTCTGAGTGCGTTCCCGCTGCCGGAATGGTGCTTTCATTTGGTGTCGGGTGAGAACCGAATGGTGACGAAGATCGGAGAGCTGATGGATTGCGGGCTGGCACTGATGGCCGGGGGTCAGGTACGATTTATGGTTGAGAAAGATGAGCGTTGGGAGAAGCGCTGTATTGGACCAGAGACGACAGAGACTGGAGCATTTTTGAACGGTGACGAGGTATGCACGGATGAAATTGAATCGAAAAGTAATGGTGTATTTACAACGCATGTGCGGTTAGAAGAAGCGAGGCTTGCATATCAGTTTGGTGTACCACTGCAAGAGTTTGAACATGTAGAGCAGACGCTGACTTTCATGGGTCATTCTCTTGAAAGCCTACGAACAAGACTCGGAGGATGGGTGAAGGGAAACGAAGATGCACAGGCCAGGGCTTGGAGACCTGTTTTGTTTAAAAGTGGAGAAAGGAAAACAATGTGGGAGAAAGTCGGGGGTCTGTCTGCAGAGCTGTCACAAACGGTTTGTGAGAGAGGTGAGAAATGTGTTCTGAAAGATCGTGGGGTCCAATCGCGGTTGGTATGGGAGTTGCAAAACATTGTTCGAGAGGGAATGTGTGGAGCTGAAGGGTGCCCGAGTGCGATACGGGCAGTGGCACTATGCCTACTTAGTTTCCCTGCGATCGAAGTGACAAGGATGGAAGGTGGGATTGGAGGGGCTGGGGAGCAACAGAGGTCGAGGGAAGCGGGAGAAGTGGAGATCAAGCAAGGAGAGAGCTGTGTGACTCTCGTATTGGGAAGCGGGGAAGAAGCACAAGACCAGACGGGCAGGATCAAGACGGTTGAGTTGACCATAACGGCGATGTGCGCCCCGCAACAGACTAAGCTCGATGTTCGACTCCAGTACACAAGCGAGCATGTGCATGAAGTGAGTGTACGGTTACGTCGTGGGGAAAATGGTGCAGAGGGGGTGTTCGAGTGGGAGTGGTGGCGAGATGCGGCGATGGGGCGCATGGAGGGCCTAAAGCGATGGCAAGAGAATCACGAAATGGAAGCAGTGGAATTCCGTACGTCTAGACTCCCAATAGACTCTGGTTTGCGGATTGTGGATTCAGCGGTAAGGGAGAGTGGGCATGAGTTTGTGACGTGGGCGGGATGGGAACCGTTCCGAACGAAACATTGCAAACTTGAAGTTGAGAGTGAGAAACTGCTGGTGGAGTTTGCCGTGACACGGCAGCCAGGGTCCCTTGCTGTGAGAAACAAGAAAATATATTACAGTGTCGACCGTATGGTGGGAAGGAGACGCTCTGTCGGGTATGCAGAAGCAAAGCGTGAGTCGATCCGTGATGGGTGTCTCATTGTGAGAGAAGCACTTATAGAAGGCACGAGGGTTGTGGAAAGTGGCACGGCGCTGTCGAACCAGACTGAAGACACCAAGGACGTGATTCGTAAGGCCGAGAATCTGATTGGCGGAGGACATGAAAATTTCGGGCGGGCCATTTTTCTGCTCAAGGTAGCGGCACTGGAGAGGAATGACATTGGCGCTCTGTGCACATGTGTGGAGCTTTTGAGGAAAGGGGGGCCGACAGGGATGCATGCGGGGAGGACATCGAACTTGAGAGAAGCGGCGCAAATGATCAAAGTGTTCTTTCATGCTAAGTTGCATACAAGCTTGACATCTACGTCAACACGCGGTGACGATGGGTTTGAGAAGTTGTTTGATTTGTTTGCAAAGCTAGTGATGGAGCAGAGTTGTGATGGAGTGATCGTGGATTTGTTCGTAGATGCGCTCGAAGATGCGATTGAGTTTGACGTGGCCGGAAACCTTCGAAAATTTCATGCATGGATACGAAAAGCGATTGTGTGTTCCCGGAAATGGAATCAGTTGGACAAGCTTGCCAATTTTTCGGACTTGGCGGTTGGAAATGGCGGGGATGTGAAGTCGAGGGAGGCAAAAGGTGATGGTGCTGGAAAGGAGGCCTTTTTCTCCGAAGGAAAGGTGACCGAGTGTGACGATATGACGTATGATCTTGTTGGCAAGGCTTTACTGGAACGCATGATAAGCGAATACGCGACGTTGTCTTCAAGAGAAGGAATTTGGATTGTGCTGGGTACTGCCGGACAGGGGGCTCCTTGGTGTGCGAGAGAGAGACAATATGCGGGAAGTCAGGATGAGAATTCAAGCGGACACGCCATGAATAGCCTTGGAGTTCTTTTCCAGCTAGGGGCACGAGGGGTGGGTCGTGACGCTCCACAAGCCAAACTTCTATACGAGACTGCGATCGAAGAGAATGAAAACTGTAAGGCGATGTATAACCTCGCTTTTTTGCTGAAACAAGGTGCCGAAGGAGTAGAGCGTGACGCAGTGCGATCTATGGAGCTGTATGAGCGCGCTATCGAGAAGGGTGAGGACGTCGATGCAATGGTGAACCTGGGTGTTTTGCTGAAAGAAGGTGCCGAAGGAGTAGAGCGTAACGCCGTGCGATCTATGGGCCTGTATGAGCGCGCTATCGAGAAGGGTGACGACGTCGGTGCCATGGTGAATCTCGGTAATTTGCTCTCAGAAGGTGGGGAAGGAGTAGAGCGTGACGCAGTGCGATGTATGGAGCTGTATGAGCGCGCAATCGAGAAGGGTGACCACGTCGGTGCAATGGTGAACCTGGGTGTTTTGCTCGAAGAAGGTGCCGAAGGAGTAGAGCGTGACGCAGTGCGATGTATGGAGCTGTATGAGCGCGCTATCGAGAAGGGTGAGCACGTCGGTGCCATGGTGAATCTCGCTATTTTGCTCTCAGAAGGTGGGGATGGAGTAGAGCGTGACGCAGTGCGATCTATGGAGCTGTATGAGCGCGCTATCGAGAAGGGTGAGGACGTCCGTGCCATGGTGAATCTCGGTAATTTGCTGAAACAAGGAGCCGAAGGAGTAGAGCGTGACGCAGTGCGATCTATGGAGCTGTATGAGCGCGCTATCGAGAAGGGTGAGCACGTCGGTGCCATGGTGAATCTCGGTAATTTGCTCTCAGAAGGTGCCGAAGGAGTAGAACGTGACGCAGTGCGATGTATGGAGCTGTATGAGCGCGCTATTGAGAAGGGTGACCACGTCGGTGCCATGGTGAATCTCGGTAATTTGCTGAAACAAGGAGCCGAAGGAGTAGAGCGTGACGCAGTGCGATGTATGGAGCTGTATGAGCGCGCTATCGAGAAGGGTGACCACGTCGTGCCAATGGTGAACTTGGGTGTTTTGCTGCAACAAGGTGCCGAAGGAGTAGAGCGTGACGCAGTGCGATCTATGGAGCTGTATGAGCGCGCTATCGAGAAGGGTGAGCACGTCGATGCGATGTACAACCTCGGTGTTTTGCTCTCAGAAGGTGCCAAAGGAGTAGAGCGTGACGCAGTGCGATCTATGGAGCTGTATGAGCGCGCTATTGAGAAGAGTGAGCACGTCGGTGCCATGGTGAATCTCGCTATTTTGCTGCAACAAGGTGCCGAAGGAGTAGAGCGTGACGCAGTGCGATCTATGGAGCTGTATGAGCGCGCTATCGAGAAGGGTGAGCACGTCGGTGCGATGTATAACCTCGGTCTTTTGCTGAAACAAGGTGCCGAAGGAGTAGAGCGTGACGCAGTGCGATCTATGGAGCTGTATGAGCGCGCTATCGAGAAGGGTGACGACGTCGATGCAATGGTGAACCTGGGTGTTTTGCTCGAAGAAGGTGCCGAAGGAGTAGAGCGTGACGCAGTGCGATGTATGGAGCTGTATGAGCGCGCTATCGAGAAGGGTGAGCACGTCGGTGCTATGGTGAATCTCGCTATTTTGCTCGAAGAAGGTGCCGAAGGAGTAGAGCGTGACGCGGTGCGCGCCGTGGCATTGTATGATCGTGCAATGGCGAAAGGAAATTCCGGTAACGCGACTTGCTATCTTGCGATGACGTTAAGGGACGGGGCGGAAGGGGTGGAGCGCAATGCGGTGCGTGCGGTGGAGCTGTTTGAGATGGACATCAAGGAACGGAAGCAGAGCAAGTCAATGGTGTGTCTTGGAGACATGTTGCGGGACGGGGCGGACGGGGTGGCCCGCGACACGGATCGGGCGATACAGTTGTACGAGATGGCGGTCGAGGAAGACAACAACGCGGAGGCGGTAGCCCAACTTGCGGCGTTGCAGCGGGACAGATCAGACAGCAGTACGCGGGACGAGGGTGAGTGAGAAGTTCTCACTCACCCTCTCCGCCTTCTCTCTGAGGAAGGCGGGGGCGGGGTGGAAGGCGATGGCAGTGGCGCGGACAGCGTAATGTAACATATTTTTGGATATTATTATTGTATATATATAGGACAACAGTAACACGTGTACAGTAGTGCATTCGTCATCGCCGCGAGGGCCTTCTCCTTCAGCCAGGGAGGAAGACAGGGATAAAGGAGGACGGAGCGGGACGGAAGAGTTGCGGGCGAGTCTCCAACACCTGTAGCCACCGTCGACTCGGAGTTAATCGAAAACACTCAGCTGTACTCTAACGGTACTCCGTTTCCATTAAAGGCAAAGTAGCCGACTTTCCTGCCTCCCTTACCCGAAGCCATCGGTCACCCAGTTTAACCCTGCTGGAACACGTGTTACACGTTCCCGCAGAAAACTATCCTCGCTGTGGCCCTCACTGTATCCTCGCTGTTACTGTAATGCATAAGGGGTGCAAGTAACATTCCTTCCACGCCCTCGTTCCCGCTACGTACAAGACTTGTACTACAAGTATGGGGTACAGTACCCAAAACTGAACAGTGACCCCAAAAGTTGAACAAGCGAAAAATCTGCCCTTTTTATTCCAAAATCAAGATTGAGCACTAGAAATGGACATATCCCCTGACTTCAGGTCCAACAAATTGGCGAAAAATAAAATAAAATCAAATCTGACCACGAGCTTTGCCGCCCAAATTTCGATTGGATACCATACTTTCAAGTTCATCTCAGCACTGAAGCAATCAGCACTGAAGCAATGAAGTCGTTCGAGGCAGATAGAATTTGAGATACAACTTTTTTTGAATTTTTGAAATTTTTTTGATACTTACTTTGCGTTGACCAATAAAACTGTTGTTCAAGTTTCGAGTGACATTGGGCTCGGGATCGACGACGCCACTGTAGCGCTCCCACGTGTTCGGGAATTCTACGTCTACTACTATCCACCATTAAAAACATTAAAAAAAGTCACCCCGACCTGGACCCCGACCTGGACGGTCAAGGCCATCTAACTCGTCGGATTAGCGAAAAATGACTTGCCTTCCGCAGCTTTTTGAGAGACACGTATGGTTGGTGGCATACGTTTCACGGCATTTGGCCTTATAATGAAATCATTTTTTTGCGTAAACCCTCTAGTGTCATCATTCCCATGTACAGCACGCACACCTGTCACACGCACACACGCACAACTGCGACCGTCAACCGCCGCCGCCTCTTAGGCGGCGGTACATTATCATCGCAAGAAAGAACACAAGTCGCGTTACCGGAAATGCCTTTCACCATCGCACGTTTCCGCAATCCCATAGCGCATACTATGCTAGTCTCGATGCCCACCTCCCCTTCTTATAGCAGGGCACCCAGATTGACTATTGCACTGATGTGGTCAGCCTTGTCGATCGCCATCTCGTCGTACTCCGACAAGCACAACTCATTCCGTACCTTTAGAATGAAAGTTCCCGAGATTGAACATCGCCTCGACGTGACCAGCCTTGTCGATCGCCCTCTCCCACAGCTCCTTCGCTCGTGCCGCGTTTCGCTCCACCCCTTCCGCGCCATCGTACAGCAAACACCCGAGATGGTTCATGGCGTCGACATGATCAGCCTTATCGATCGCCTTCTCCCACAACTCCCTCGCTCGAATCGAGTTCCGCTCCACTCCTGCCCCATTTTTGAGCAGGGCCCCGAGGTTGTACATCGCGTTCACGTGATCAGCCTTCTCGATCGCCCTTTCGTACAAATCCCTCGCGCGTACCATGTTACGCTCCACTCCTTCTGCGCCATTATCAAGCAGGAACCCGAGGTTTTTCATCGCGCTGACGTGATCAACCTTCTCGATCGCCCTTTCGTACAACTCTATCGCGCGTACCGCGTTACGCTCCATTCCTTCTGCGCCAGTATCGAGCAGGACCCCGAGGTTGTACATCGCATCGACGTCGTCAGCCTTCTCGATCGCCCTTCCATACAACTCCGCCGCGCGTACCGCGTCACGCTCCACTCCTTCTGCCCCAGTATCGAAAAGGAACCCGAGGTTGTACATCGCATCGACGTGATCAGCCTTATCGATCGCCCTTTCATACAGCTCCATCGCGCGTACCGCGTTACGCTCCACTCCTTCTGCGCCATTATTGAGCAGGAACCCGAGGTTGTTCATCGCGCTGGCGTGATCAACCTTCTCGATCGCCTTTCGTACAGCTCCATCGCGCGTACTGCGTCACGCTCCACTCCTTCTGCGCCAGTATCGAGCAGGACCCCGAGATTGTACATTGCATCGACGTTGTCAGCCTTCTCGATTGCCCTTCCATACAACTCACTCGCGCGTGCCGCGTTACGCTCCACTCCTTCTGCCCCATTATCGAAGAGGAACCCGAGGTTGTACATGGCATCGAAGTGATCAGCCTTATCGATCGCCCTTTCATACAGCTCCATCGAGCGTACCGCGTTACGATCCACTCCGTCCGCGCCATTATCGAGCAGGAGCCCGAGGTTGTTCATCGCACCGACGTGATCAGCCTTCTCGATCGCCCTTTCGTACAAATCCCTCGCGCGTACCACGTTACGCTCCACTCCTTCCGCGCCATTATCGAGCAGGACCCCGAGGTTCAACATCGCCCCGACGTGATCAGCTTTCTCGATCGCTCCCTCCCAGAGCTCCTTCGCTCGTGCCGCGTTTCGGTCCACTCCGTCCGCACCATTTTTGAGCAAGAAGCCGAGATTGTTCATCGCGCTGACGTCGTCAGCCTTCTCGATTGCTCTTTCGTACAGCTCCATCGCGCGTACCGCGTTACGCTCCACTCCTTCTGCGCCATTATCGAGCAGGACTCCGAGATTGTACATTGCCTCGACGTGATCAGCCTTCTCGATCGCTCTCTCCCAAAGCTCCTTCGCTCGTGCCGCGTTACGCTCTACTCCTTCTGCGCCGTTTGCCATCAAGAGACCAAGATTGACCATCGCCCCGACATGCTCACCCTTGTCAATTGCTCGCTCGTAGAGGCCCACAGCCTTGGCTGCGTTGCGTTCAACACCTTCTTCCCCCTTCCCCATGACGATGCTATGACTGTACATTGCGAGGCAGTCGTTGTATTCTGTGTGATGGCGTGGGCAACAGAGCTGGACGTCCGTGAGAATTGTAAATTTTGTATGAATCAAAAAATCATACCACTGTATTCCGAAATGCATGTCAATCGCGAAGTGTCCAGAAATGAGCACTTCGGGCGCCATTTCGGGAAGACAAGCCTGGCGAAACCTCCACGAGCTGCGATTCCCGAGCCCCTGAAGGATCGACAAGTAGGAGGAGCCAGAACAATAACACGGGTCGAACAGAGAAGAAAATGAAGATGCAATGAGGACGGGGTTCAACACTGAAGAAGATTTGTCTCGCATGTTGTAAAGAAGCTCCTCCTCTTGAAGCAGGAATTGTTGCAACATAACTGCTTCTATCGCTTCTCTGCGCATACACCTATAAGAAACGTCCGTTCGTGGCGAATGCAGTAGATGGCTTCAATCGTTCTCAATCTGGAAGTCTTTTAGGATGCGCCACTATATTCGTCAAGCAGGCGCTTTGCCGTGGCTTTACCCACTCATCATGGGCCCTACAAGAACGCAAGAATTAGAGAACCCCCTGAATGCTAGGGGTATTTTGCCGCACTGCATCCCCGTATGCATGACTCTCTAGGTGATTGCAGATATAGAAATGGGCGACGTGAAATTTAGAGGCAGCTTACTTGTGCGGAACAGGTATGCTTGCAGGAAAGCGAAGGTTGAAGGAGAAGATGGCAGCACGTGGGGGTGTTTTCAAGCTATGTTTTCCAGACATGAGACGAGGACAGATCTTCTCGCTGGCGGGACCATGTACTCTTGGTCAAAGGCGTTGGAAGCTCGAGTCTTGGTACGCGGCTTACCCTTGAGCTTGGATTGTTTTCGTGTTAGTGAATTGAAGAGGTATTATACGTGCGTGATAAGTAATGGATAGGCGCAACACGCTACATCTTTGGATCGCATACCAGGCTGGTGGATGTCGAGCTTTAGTGCGTGGAACTGATGGCACTAAACATCTTGACTTGTTTATTCCTGCATTGGAACATATCAATTAAGGATAGGATGAATCAGTGTGATGCATGTTTGCCAAAAGTGTACAGATGTTTGGGCTTCGCAGTTTGGAAGTACGTGAAGGACAGAGGAGATGGATTATCTTGGATTCGTGCTCTATGAATGTTACTATGACCCTCTGGGGAACGCTCCCAAATTGCTCCGTCAAACAGATCTGAGACCAGGGATACACAGTAGCGGTTTAAAATCCGCTTGCAAAGGAATGCTGATTCAAACCAGCTTCAAATTCAAGCATTGCATCTTTTCGAGTAGGGTTCTCTCGGCTTTTCAAAAGATGTTGGACTCCTTTCTGAATATTCTGCTTTTGAGACAAGGATGAAAGCAGGGGTCTACATGATGATAGTTCTGCTAGCGGCGTGTGTGATTGACTCAGAAACGAAAGCTTGGTGCGTAGGCGGTTGTGAGGTTTTGGTTGTGGTAGTTCAAAATTGACCCTCTGTTGCTTGGCGCATGGGAGACGGAATTACTGTTGCGATAACCTTTCAGTGCGCATATTTACAACACCGAACTGATAAGCATTGAAGTGGCACTTGAGGTCGTCGTTTGCATGCAGGAAAAAGGGCAGCACCCATCCTTTTACTTTGCAAGGCGTATTGTACGGTAATGGTGAACATGGTACTAGTGAATTTCACCACTGTCGCAAATTGCGCTTTTCACCTGGAATTGGTTCCACAGGAGGACGCACCGGGCGCAATCGTATAGAGAAATCGGAGGCGGGATGGTTTAAAGTTGAGGTATGCGTATTGTTTCCGCGATAGTTGTGAATGCACAGGGTGTAAAAATGAATGGTTTCGCCGCATGTGTTCTTTGGCGGTCATGTTGGCAAGCGGTGTGGTGCTGTAAAAGTGAGTTGGATACGCTATGACTGCCGAGACAGAGGTACATAGGCATGGTATCGCGGTATGATTATTAGCAAGCAGGGGATGGGGACTACGATGTTGGTCGTGTTAGCGGGAAAGGAGTAAGAGATGGATTCAAGTGTATTGAAAAGATTCCACTTGAGTAACTGCTCAAAGTGGTGCCAGATTCCACACGCTTACACATTATCGAGGTTACACGATTGGTGAATAAGTATGATAGGGCGTTGGCGAGCGTTTTGAGAAGTACGGTAACTGTATAGGCATCATCCCTTGTATCTGTTGGACGGAACAAGCAGTAGATTGGTGGCTGTGGAAGTGAGACGGGATAAAAGATCTCGAACCCTGCGTTGGAGGCTGTCGTAAATCAGCATTAAAGCAATATTGAGTGCAAGGAGTAATGTAGGTATGATGTGTGTTTGCAGGAGCATACACTGCAATATACATGAGCTGGGCACTGCCGATTGCGGTTGTGGGCGCGAAATGCATCGTTCCCGACGAGAACTGAAGGCGTGGGGTATGTCTAGGCGTTGTCCACGTCGTATCCCTTGGTTATACCTCGGATGGGACACAGCGGCGTGTAAGTGGATGTGGAATGAATGGCATGAAAAGATCTAGACTCTGCGTCAGAAGCAGCCGCTCGGTATGAAATGGGTGTTACCCATTTTCATGGACGGTGTAGCGTGCAAGAAGTATGATGCGTGTTGCAGGAAAGTGTAGATGAGTTGTACGCGCCCGATTGGAGGAAGGCGAAGGAAGGTTTAAGAGGGGGAAGAAGTTGGTCGGTGTGGGGTAAATCAAATTGAGGAAGAGTGAGATAGCGGTGAAGATAGCGGTGAAGATAGGGGTGAAGATAGCAGTGAAGATGTAAGGTTGGGTGCGAAATAATGAACTCATACGAATGCCTCATATGCGGTTGTGGCAAGGTGTGGCAAGGTGGAAGGGAGGTTTTGAGGATGGGTGGCGGAGAGAAGAGCAAGCCAAAGTTGGACGCAGGGTTAAACCCTTCCCGCAGAGCATATGCACCTTCTTGAGTCGCGCTACATGTTTGCGACCAAGCGGCGGCGGACCGTGCCCGGTCGCTGTTTCCGCGTCTCCGCGCCGCGCACGTTCCCCGCCCGGCCGTTCACCGCCGCCCACACAGCCGTCCCGCCGCCGCGCGGCAGCGCGCGCGCGCCCCGCGCGGCGCGTGCGCGCGATATTTCGCCCGAACGGCCGGCCCGTCCGGCGCGCGGCGGTTGGCCGGATGTTTGTGCGGCGGTGCAACGTCGGCCACGCGTTGCGCATGCACGCCCGATTGAATATCTCCGCGCCGCGTCTGAGCCGCGCGGACA